AGGGGGTTGGACTAGATGACCTCCTGAGGTCCCTTCCAACCCTGATATTCTATGATTCTATTGCTTAACAGTGCCTGAGTTGCTGGCTTCAGGAACCATTCTTAGCCTGTAGTGTGTTGTTGTTTTATTTTGATTTCGAAGTATCTTTTCCCCAAGGAGCATCAAACAGCATGAGGCAGTGATTTATGGGAGCAGATTGAGGCCTGCTGGGTTTTTCTGGGACAGCTGCTGAGTGACTTTAGAGGGCTGCACCATTACAGTTTGGCAGGTCCTAAAAGTCCGATGAGTTTCTTTGACCTGCAAAGAAACTCTGAATCCTGGGGTGCCACGTTGCCACAACCTGCTGCGACACGCCAGTTCAAACGCCATCGTCTCTTGAACCGCAGGATTCCAGCTCAGTCTGGGTAGCATGTGGAGCTGAATCTAGCACTGACTGAATAACTCCGGAGTGACTGAATGCAGCGCAGCACTTCTGTGCCCCAGGGAGCGCTGCCATCAAATTGCCTCTAAAATAAGGGAGCTCTGTGCATTATTGCTCTTTCTTAGGGTATGTCAGCACTGCAGTCAAGGTGTGGGATTGTAGCATGTGTAGACAGACCCACACTCGCTTTCATCGAGCTAGCTCGGGTTCCTAGAGCCGTGAAGTTGCAGCAGCACGGACACCATCATGGGCTAGTTACCTGAGTCATTCCCCAGGGCCCTAGGAGAGCTGGTACAGGCTGCACTGCAGCCCATGCTGTTGCGGCTTCACTGCTATGTTTAGTCCTGCTAGCTGCATTCAGGCCAGCGTGGCTCTGCCTAGGTGTGTTGCAGTCAGCCCCCCAGTTGCAGCACTGGCACACCCTATCGTTATCTGCCTGGTTAAACGGCCCAAAGGTTAGGGGTGAAGCACTGAACCCTTTGGAATGGTCCCTGTGCTGACTCTTGTCACTTTGGGAATGAAGGTTGTAAGTCATGATACATTGAACAAGTTAGTCACCCTGCCAACAGGATGGGGTGGAGAAGGCAAGAAGCCCTATGGCCTGGTGCCTGGTGTAATGCTTCTGTCCTGCTGTTGTCTGGCAGGCCATGATCTTCAGGACTACTGCTGTGCTCTGGATGATGACTTTGACTTGAACTGGGAAACAGAGAAGGAACTTGAAGCTATGGCATGTGATGGAGATGACTTTATTCCACCCAAAATAATGGTGAGGGCTGTTCCCACCCTCCCTTGCCCATGCACCTCATTCATCTTTTCACAGTTGCTGATTGGGTATTCATGGAAGAAGGGCAGAACCTTCAGATCTCTCTTGGGGCTACTAGGGGGTAAGGGAGGACGCCATTTGTGATGAGGCATAGAAAGGAAATTACCCAGCTTGGTTCTCAGATCCTAGGGGGAGTGTGCAGGGCTGGCAGTTAGAAACACCCTCCCTTCCTCATTTGACTTGTACACTGCAGCTCCACGATGCCGTTTGTGCACTTTAACCTGTTCTTATAGGCTAGGCCCTTCAGCCTTCCCTCCTTTACTCCTGTTCTCGCTGGTCTGGTTTAGTGATGTCCTTACGTAGGGTCAAATCCTGACGTCCTTCCTTAGCCCTCACTCAGGCAAATGACCATTGACTGAGCAAAAACTGAGTACAGAACTCTGAGTTTGACCTCTACTCAAGTGGTTAGTTGGGCAGCAGAACCATTAGGGCATTGCTGATGCTACATCTGAATGGGCCAACTAGCATGCCATTGGGTTACTAATATAGAGGATAGTGGTGGTGAGGTTGTCTTTTCCTTATACTCCTCCATTTTATTCTTTCCCTGGCATCCCCCCACCAAGGCAGATTTTTTTTTCCTAGTGCAAGGGATGGGGGGTGTCAGGGTAAGACATCTCCCCCTAGGTTTAACAGGATATGGAAATATGGGGCCCAATCCTCCTTTAACTTACTGTCTGGGTCTAGATGAAGAGGGACTTGACTTGTGTCAGCAGAGCCACGATGGGGTGTACTCCCACTGAGCTTTGTCACTGGGCTGATGCTCCAGGCACTTCCTTAGTTAACATTTCACTGGTGCAGCTGACTAGCCTCCCTCAGTGCTGATGATGGCTGGCTTGCTGAGCTGTTCCCTTGCTACAGCCTGAATGCAAAAGGACAGGCTGGGGCTAGAGAGGGTTTCTTAGTATGGCCGATGAAGTGAGCAGGCAAGGAGCTCAGGGGCTAGAGGGGGCCTAGCAGAGGAGTGGCCAAGATATTCCTACTGAGCAGGCTTTCACTTGAGTTACCAGCAGAGGGAGGAATCCCAGCTTTCCCCAGATACCAGTTATGAATTTTGGCTTGACGTCCTAGTTGATGCCATGTCAGGAGGGTGCCTTTAAGCAAAGGCCCTTGCTGCAATCACAACCATATTACATAATGTGTTTGGGGTCTTAGGCCATACCACTGTTTTCTATACATGGAGGGACTAGCTGGGCCCAGGGTCCCCGCTATTTGCTTTCTACAGTGCAGAGAGAAAATAGAAATAGCCTCTTTTAGCAGCTTATTTCTGACCTGAAAGAAGAAATATTTGCATCCAGAGGCATTATGGAGACTTCTTATGGAATGAGGATGCAGACAACATCACTCCCAGTGTATAGTGCCTGCCCACAGTCCCTTTGTGTCTCTGCTCCTGACCCATTTCTATTTCTCATTTCCGTTCCTAGCTTATTTCTTCCAAGGTCCCCAAAGCTGAGTACATCCCAACGATTATCCGCAGGGATGACCCCTCCATCATCCCCATTCTCTACGTGAGTAGCCTAGCTCTTTGCATGTTCATTGGGTACTGGAACGTTGGGTTGGCTCATAAGTGGAAATGAGTTTAGTGATTGTATCCTAGTCCCTAGATGGCATCAGAATGCCTCAGAAGAACCATTGCACAACTGAGCAAAGCTGGCAAATACCTGCTCAAGAGAGGCACAGTATTTTGGCAGCAGACATATTAGGTCAGGATTCAGGTTTATTGGCAGAGCTCTGTGGGGTGTCCAGGACTGGAATAGTGGGGTGGCTGCAGGACACTATCAGAAGCATGTGTCTAGGGACCTGGGACTGGAGTAACAAGGGGGCTATGAGCTGGGACTGAGGAACATCGTCCATGCTGTGTGACACCAGGAGTTGAATAGAGTCCAGGTTGCAGGTCAGGACTGAGGCACATTAGCAGAGCTCTGTGTGTTGGAAGGCTCCACAGTTCTTTGCTGCATTTGACCCATTCCTAGACCATTCAGGACTCCACGTATCTCTGCAGTAGACCTCAGTCCGGGGCTCACTCAACACATTTCCCTATTCAACACACAAACAATGTGCAGTATTTACTTTTTGAAGTCCACCTACTTAATGTAACTTACAAAGTTTATGTTTATAGTCACACATGGGACTTAACATAAGGGCAATGATGCTTGTGATGTTGACTGAGACCACCAGTTGGTTTAATTGAATCCCAATTTATGTGCTTACCTAGTGTAGCATTGTTCTCTGTTGCATGAGGAGATCTCTTTAAATGATGAGTATCTAGCAGCACCTAGGTTTGAAATATCCTTTCTGTTCGGTTCCAGGATCATGAACACGCCACCTTTGAAGATATTCTAGGTACGTGAGTGTTATTTTCTGTGTCTTTTTCCCCCACTCAAAGTTTCACGTGAGCAGTAACAGGGAACTCTCCAGTGCATGGGGGATTTCATTGTAATCCAGTGTTCTGTTGTATCCAGCCTCCATTGGGAAAAACTATGGATTCCTGACTCCCAAAGTTCTAAAGTCCGGGGCCTGTTTTGAAATCAGTGGGACCTGTGGGTGTTCAGTGCCTCTGAAAGTCAGGCCCATGATGTCTTACAGAATAAACACAAATGAGAGATAGTGAAAATCTCTGTAGAAGAGCCAGTGTTTCACCTTCTGTGTGGCTCACGTGTCTTTCCTTCACTGTTTTCTGCAGAGGAAATAGAGAAGAAGCTTAACATTTATCGGAAAGGCTGCAAGATTTGGAAGATGCTGATTTTCTGCCAGGTACGTGATCGGCATTGGGGCCCTTGGCACTTTGTTAAAAGCCAATATTTTCTCCAGGAACAAATTAACTCCAGAAAACAATATTCCAAAGCCAGCCTGCAGCAGGCTTTTATTAAAGCAATCCCATCTATTCAATTCCCATTTCTCATTTGTTGACCTCTGAGCATCCTCAGCTTGCTGTGATGGCAGCAAAGGACATTTGGCTTAGTGCAGCAAATGCAGGTTTGGCAGCTTTTCAACAGCTTTCTAGCAAATCCATGCAATCTGACTTCAGCAGGAAACTCACAGACAAAGGGGCAGGGATTTGGAGCTTGATAGTTATTGATTACTTTCATAAAGCATCCTGCAGTATGCGTTAATACAGGAACATAGGAACTTCTATACTGGATGAGGCCAGGCTTCCCGTCCCTGCCAATGGCCAGCACCAGACTGTGCTGTGAGCAGTTATGGAGTGACTTGCCCAAAGAGAGGTTTTTGCTGAGTCTTCTCATGCCCTGGAGCAGGAATGTTGCAATCCAACCAAACTTTTGAGATTTTTGTTTTTAATTCTTCGTGGAATAACTATGGATTTTCTCACAATCCATATAAATGTTGACTCCTTGTGTCTCCTACAATTAGAGTAATGATGGTTTTCCATGCCTCTGTTTGCCTATCATTTCCCTACCCCACACCATCAGAGATCCTTAAAGCAGCAATACCAATACCAGTCAAGTTTCAGAGTAACAGCCGTGTTAGTCTGTATCCGCAAAAAGAAGAACAGGAGTACTTGTGGCACCTTAGAGACTAACAAATTTATTAGAGCATAAGCTTTCGTGGGTGGGCTGTAGTCCACGAAAGCTTGTGC